TCTGTGGGTTTAGCAACACTTTTAATAACTGCTGTAACAGTCAAAATATGGACAGAAGTTAAAGGTAAATTTAAAAATGATAAGTTTGAATAAATTTTTATTTTTATTTTAAACTGGAATTGACTTCCTTCTCTCATTTTAGGGAACAAAACACTGATGGATAAAACCACAGTAAGTACAACTAAACTAAACTCAACAACTTGAACTAGAAATTACAAGTTAACAAAAAAAGGCTGCTCAGTGGTAGCGGAAAAGTAAAAAGCTAGACACAATATAAGGAGAACAAAATTGAGTGAAAATACTATTCAACAGGAGAAAAGGACAAAGGAAACGTCCACATGATAGGAAGAGGAATAAAGAAAGGTAGAAAAAGGCACAAAAAGGCACGTGATAAATTAGCCTTCAAAATAAAACAGGAAGTAACTGACTAACTGAAGAAACAATAGATACCAAACAAACAGTAAAGCACAGATTGGCGGAAAACACTGAGAAAAGGACCAAATATTCAAAAACACAAAAGAAGAGAAAAGATTTATAATGGAAACTAAAGATAATTACAAAAATGTATTTATCATTATTACATAATTTATGATCTGATGCATCTTATTTTGGTTTTGGTTTGTTTGGGGTTTTTTTTTCTACAGGTACATTTTGATAACAAAGAAGATCATGTTACAATAAAGTCTGAAAATATTGGAGACTCTGCTACTTCCATCTGACTGCAATGATCATCATCAAAATCAATTCCAGTTGCTGTTCAGTCATCAGTATCAACTTTTATAATTGGTTAAATGCTAGATATAAAACAGATGCTAAAGTAATTTTAGTAAAAATGATTGGTTCTTTTTTTTACTTCAGTCTAGACGTGTATTTAAATTTTCATTTCATTTTTTATAAAAGGATGTTGGTTTTGATAAATGACAGAATCTGCATCAATATTGTTGCTCGTGATATAGTAATAAATTAAAATGTATTTCTATTCAGTTTTGGTGTAATTTTCTTCTAATTAATCCTTTATTCAATACTTTATACATTAACACTTGTGCATAGAGCAAGATTACTGGGCTGAACAGGGTCAATGGATTCCCTGTAAAGAGATTTGTAGATGTGGGTAAAAGAGGGTCTTAGGCATAGGACACTTAACTTCTTTAAGTTGCTTGAAGACGTTTCACCTCTCATCCGAGAAGCTTCTTCAGTTCTAGGGTTAAATGGTTGATAGTTCCCTCTTTTTCCCTTCAGGCTTAGAGGGAACATTTTACATTCAGTGTTGTAGGGTCCTGATTACTCCAAGTTTGTGTTCCAGAGGGTGATGGGAGTCAAAGACGAGGTACTGGTCCGTGTGTGTGGGCTTTCAGTAAACTTCAATGTTGAGGTTTCCTAGGGTGACCAACCGTCCTCTTTTCCCCGGACATGTCCACTTTTCACGTTCTGTCCGGGGCGTCCGGGGGGATTTTGGAGATTGATGAAAATGTCCGGGTTTTCCTATAGTCCGACAGGGACCCATGTGTTTGAAGTCATCCCCAAACTGCTGCTTTGTAAGCGCTTGTTCTGTGCTCACAGACGGGACAGACGGTGCGCAGCAACCCGCCTAAGGATGTTTAAAAGATCCCAAAGCGCAAGTCATCATTTGAGATGAACTGCAAAAGAAATTTTCCTCGTACTGACCCAGTGCTGGTAATTTTTCTTATGCAGATGAGGCATTATTTCTGTACCATTATTTAATTCCAGAGGCTTTTAAGTTGTTGTTGTTGTTTTTTTGCGCTCGTTGACTTGTAAAAGCCTATATGATAATTTTTTCCACACTTAAACAGTGTTTCAAATCCCCAAAAACAGAGATTTTTTAAATCTCCGCAAAATCTCAGTTTTTGCGTTAACGTGTGGACGAGGAATACGGAGTTCATCACGCAACGTCAAAGGTATGTGCCTTTTTCCCCGCTGTGTGCCACGTTACTGTTATCCTTTGTGTCTTCCCTGGTCAACTTTATGTTTTTATCCACAGCGTTAATGTGAGCAGTGAAGGATTCCACTTCTTGGGTTTTGATTTTGAACCAGGTGTCATCCACGAATCTGTACCAGCGGCTGGGTACTCTCACTTTAAAAGAGCCAAGAGCCTTTCTTTCCACTTCCTCAGTGTAAAGATTGGCTACAATAGGTGACACCAGGGAGCCCATGGCACATCTATGTTATTGTCTCTAAAAACCCTCGTTGTATTTGAAATATGTGGTGGTAAGGCAGAGGTCTAACAGTGTGCAAATCTGATCAGGGGTGAAGCTCCACCATTTGACCCTAGAACTGAAGAAGCTTCTCGGATGAGAGGTGAAACGTCTTCAAACAACTTAAAGAAGTCCAGATGCTTTACTTTCCAAGCTCCTTAGACTACGATGACCTGGATGACTGACAACCTTCAGAGACATCAAAGCAGACTGTTTTTAGGAATCTATTGTAGTGAAATATCTGACTGATATTCTTTTTAATTGATGACATTTTGTGTTGTCACAAAAGAAAAAAACATTACCATTAAATGTTTTAAAAATCGCACCCTGCTTGTGCAGAACACAGTTTCTAAGTGTCACAGTTTAGCTCTGAGCACTTCTATTCATGTATTACCCATTCTATCCACCAGAGGTCCTCAGTCTTTCAGTAGGCCATCCACTCGGCCCACTCACTTGTAAACTACAGGTCTGAGCAGGTGTTTAAAATCATGTATGGATTTATGAACAGCTTTTATTTCTTGTTTTTATTAATTGTTAATGAACTAACTTGTAAACAACCTGAACTGTATTTTTGGGACTACAACTGTCTGTTCTGCTGTGCTGTCTGTTTTCTAACATTAGAGGAAAGAGGGGCTGTATTAATGGAAACATTTATCTTGACTAACAATCTTCACAGATTCAGCTTCCTCGGTCAACGTCTTTTCAGGTTATTAAACACATCACTGTCACAAATGCACTCTGAAAACAGACACAATGTGCACTTGGTAAGTCTTATAAATACAGGCCATTTACCATTACCATTTATAATCGCTTTGTGCAATAATATCCCTTCATAAAAACAAATTACTTCATGCATTTCTGAGAAAATGAGAAAGACTGCACCTATGGAATGTAAACATGAAAAGAAAACTGCTAAAGTTGTGAAGAGGATGTGACACCTCAGTAGTGACAGGAAGTACAAACAGTCTTAAATAGTCATCAGTTCAGAAACGTTGACAGTCAAGAAAAGAAATGAGACAGAGAAGCACGATGGATGAATTCATATGGATTAAAATGTTTTTATGTCTGATGCTGGTGATTCAGATTACAGGTAAGAATTCGGGAAACATTTTAATAGCAGGAAAACACCTTTACAGTAAACTGCTGAGCATGCTCTGTTGTTTGAGGGGAGCTCAGGACATGTTCGTTAACTTGTGTCTAAATTGGTCTTCAATCCGATTCTAAAAAATGCTGTATTCTATTTTTATTTATTTTTATGTTTCTCCTCCATCATTTCAACAGTATCTGCAACTGAAACCTCGATTTTTATTAAAGTTGGAGATGACGTCACTCTACCTTGTGTAAATGTGATAGAGGACCAGAATAACTGTGATGGTACTACGTGGACCTTTGCTTCAAAAAACACAACAGCAACAGAAGTGATCACCTTTGGAGAGATTGGTAAAAAAGCCCAAATGAAATCAGACAGACTGAGTGTTACAGCAAACTGTTCTCTGCTTATAAAGAAGCTCACAGCTGAGGATGTTGGTTTTTATTACTGTCAGCAGTACAAACTGGGAGAACGTAAACATCTAGTTTCTGAGTTTTTGGTTGATCTGGCTGTCATCACATGTGAGTATTTACCAAACAGTGGTACGCAAAGGTTTGGGCACCCCTGATCATTTTAATGATTTGTCTTTTTAAATCATTGGTTGTTTGGATGAGCAATTTAATTTAAATATATCATATAGCAGATGAACACAATGATATTTGAGAAGTGACATGATGATTATAGGATTTAAAGAAGGTGTGCAATAGTTATTTAAACAAAATTAGGCAGGTGCATATAAGATAAGATAAGATCACCTTTATTAGTCCCACTCGTGGGAAATTTGTTTTGTTACAGCAGAAAGTGGTAAAGTCTTAGTTCAAACTATAGGATCAAGACATTCCTTTGTCCCCCTCCCCAGCCTCTCGAGGTTCTGGGGTGAGGTTGTAGTGTTTTATCACAAGCACATCCCATGTAAAGGTTTGTTTGATGTTTGGTAAGCTTTCTGCCCTTTTTATGGCTTCACTGTGTTGTGT